TGGTTTGGGTTTATAAATTTGGTTTCACTCACCAACATCGACTCATTTTATACATCAAAAACAAAAACAAGTGGGTTTTTTTTTCTAGAAGGAAATACAGGGTGTCTCAAAAGTTGCCATACATAGAGAAAATGGGAAATTGTAGCTAAATATACCTTTATTTACAAAATATTCATGACAAAATTTTTCCTTTGTATGGAGACTTTTGGGACACCCTGTAGAATGTATTCTCTAAGTGGTTTGTGTGCTTTGGCCAGGGCATGCTTGGCCAAAACCAAGCATGGTTTGGCCAACTTGGCCAAAGCCACTGCTTGGTTTGCTTTCCCTGTCTCTTACAGCAGTTAAGACGAGATAGTCTACATAGGGAAAGTGTCACAGAGGACAGCAACATCAATCAATAGTAATAATACACAATGTAATCGCAGTCTAATGTACCAAACACCTCGGGTCAGCAATATCAGTAATAATTATTATTTAAAAAGGTATGTTAGGCTGGGCGCGGTGGCTCACGCCTGTAATCCTAGCTCTCTGGGAGGCCGAGGTGGGCGGATTGTTTGAGCTCAGGAGTTCGAAACCAGCCTGAGCAAGAGCGAGACCCCGTCTCTACTAAAAATAGAAAGAAATTGGCTGAACAACTGAAAATATACAGAAAAATTAGCTGGGCATGGTGGCGTATCCCTGTAGTCCCAGCTACTCGGGAGGCTGAGGCAGGAGGATCGCTTGAGCCCAGGAGTTTGAGGTTGCTGTGAGCTCAGCTGATGCCACTGCACTCTAGCCCGAGCAACAGAGTGAGACTCTGTCTCAAAAAAAAAAAAAACAAAAACCCACAAGGTCAGGAAATAGCTCAGATTGTAATATGTTAATCAACAATTCTGATTAGATAACTTTTGAGTTGGTTTTGATCAAAAGAAAAACAAAATGCTTCTGTCTTTTGAGTGAAAAATAGTTTATGGTTTATCTTGGAATTCAAGGCTTTTCAAATATTTCTGTTTTTCATGGCTTATCTTAGAGTGCAAAGCTTTTATTAATAGCAATGTCAGCTTTTTCCAGGCAATGGGACAGGATGGGCTTGATTAGTCCCTGTGGTGGGCAGGGTTAGGTAAGTTATCAGTTTTCTGATATTTTACAGACTAGAGTATAAAACTTCAAATGTCCATGGGCTTCAGTCGGGCCACCAGGTAGGTTTGTGCACTGCACAACTCTATTTCTTTTTTTCTTTCAAATATTGTCTTTGCTGCAGACACAACTCAAGATGTTATGTGCACAGTGCCCCCTGAAATTATAAAATGCAAAATCTACTCTGCCATACTTAGAAGCCAGGCAGGTAACACAAATCAGTGAAGCATATGGCCCATTTAAAGAATTCCAGCTAATTAAAAAATAATGTTCAGAACACCGTAATGATTCAAAGAGGTATGTAAAATAGATTACTATAGAAAAAAGAGACAAAAAAATAGATAAGTCAGAAAAGTATTTCAATAATCCAGGGTTGAAGAAACAGGGGACTGGCCCAGGGCTATAGGAATAGGCATAGAAAGGAAAAAATTAATAGGACTTAGTGATAGGATTCAGATTTGATTCAGAATCAAATCAATTCAGACTTGATTTCCCCATAAGGAAAAAAGAGAAAGAGACCAGAGTGATGCAAGATTTTGAACGTTGGTCCTTAGAAAAATGTCTGAAATAAAAATATTTACCTTGGAAACATCAAATTCAGACCTTTTTTAAAAAAGATCTTTTTAGACTATGATAGTAAAATTCGTGTTTTGAAAGATTGTATAATGCTATGATATTGTTCATAATAAAAAGTGGAAAAAAGATAAAAAGAAAAAATTGAAACTGTGCAAAAATGTTAACAGCAATTATCTGTGAGCAATGTCATTACAAGTTACAATAATTTTCTTCTTTATACTTGTACTGAGTTTCCAAAATTTATACAATGTGTTATATTTACAAACAGAAAAAATACTTTTAAAGGTCCCAGAGACTTGCCTTTTACGTAATCCATAAATTCAATCTTCATTATTTTGTTTTTGTGGCAACCAGTTGCAGTAGGAAGTGCTAATAGGCTTGGCTTTTTGGTGTTGGAAAAATTGGGCTTTTTCTAGGGTGCTAGATAAAAGCCTTTGTAATCTCAAGGAGATAAAGACTTAATGTTTTCCAGTCACATACATTTGTTTTAGGCATTATTTTCTGATTCAAAAACTAATTTCAATTACGTTAATGATGTTTACAAAAGACATAGTTTTTTGGTTTGTTTGTTTGTTTATTTTAGAGTTAGCTATTAGCCCTTCCCAAGTTGTGGTCATTCATCCCTTAAAGCCTATCTGAGCTTTTGCCAAGAACAGAAAGATTCAAGGCAAAAAGGAATAATAATAGTATCAATAATAAAAATAGCCTATTTATAGGACTTTAAAGTTTAAAAAAATGGTTTCACATATATTTGATGCAAGACTCATTTGACCTTTAAGGAAAAACCAGGATATAATAATTATATGGCAGGTATTATTATCTTCAGCTCTATTTTGTGGAGAAGACATTGATACTCACAAAGATGAAGCCTCTTGCTCAGGATCACAGAGTTATCAAATTGTAAACCCAGAATTCAAAGCAACGTCTTCCAAGTACTGTAATTTTTCTAAAAGATTATGAATTGAAAACCATGCAAATTGTGCTTTGCCCACTGGATTAGACCTTCTCACCATGCTGACAGCTGGGCCTGTTCATCTCATCACTACCTTTGTGCAGCCCCAGGACCTGGTCAAGCTCCGGGCTCTCGCTGTGGTCCAGCCTGCTCCAACACCCAGCACAACCCAAAATACAACCACCGAGAACAGAAAGTGGCTAAAAACTCTATGCTCTTTAAGGCATATTTGCTATTTTAAACTTTGCACAATGGTTTGCACTTAAGTCCTTCCTCAAAAGACAACAAGAGTGAAGGCCTAAGATAAATAATGGACATGATTGAAAATTTTGCAAGTTTGCTGCCATAAGTTCCCATCTACTAGCAGAATAAGTTTTTACTTATCATAAATGGTTTTACTTATCATAAATGGTTAAACTTTTGGATAACCTGAAGCAGAACTTCAAGAACCAGCTTCAGTTCCACATGGTTTTATCCTCAAAATTAGTTTTCCCTTCATACGTTTTTTTATATCATCCCATTGGCAGTTACTCCCACTTGCCACAGAAGTCCTCATTGTTCTGTAATCGGGGGATTCGTTTGTCTTCACTGGGGATTCGTTTGTCTTCACTGATACTCTACTGTTCGTCATGCAAACATGATTCTTATAATACTTTGAACATAATTTTTATTTGATGCATTCTCACATTGTTCTTCACGCCTGCTTGGGTTTTTTGTATGTGTCATTTTCTTCTGCCAACATTATTAACTTCTCACATATACTATTTGGGTATTTATGCTTTTATGCTAACTCCCATACTTCTTTGTTCTGTAAACCTTTATCACTGTACAATTTGGATACACTAGCAAATAGCTCATTTATCACCCCACTACTCACTTTAAAAGCAACATTGCTTTCCGTAAAGTTTATGCTAATATCACAATAAATATTTATCAAATGAATGATTAAACAGATATCAGCTAAGAAAAGAGGTACTGTAGCCAACTTTGAGTGAGATGTTACAAAAAAGTAGGAGATTTAATTTTTAAAATATTTTTTGGTGAGCAATATAAATGCTTTCAGTCTAGCTGTAATTTAGAATTTGAAATATTTTAACATACCAAGCCTAAGCAATAAAGGGTAAATTTGAAGAACAAGATTTTGTAAAAGTGACCCTACATGGCAGCTTCTCAGAGAAGCAATCCATCCTCCTGCACGAAGCCAGTCTTGGATAATTTATTATAGAGAAATAAATAATACAGGAGAAACTTATTTCTTTATAACAAATTACCCAAGACTTAGCAGTTTAACGCAATAAACATTTATTATCTCACACAGTTTTAGATAGTGGGGAATCTGGCAACAGCTTAGCAGAGTTGTTCTGGGTTGGGCTCTCTCACAAGGGTTACAGCCAAACTCAGCGGGGGCTGCCGTCACCTGCGGGCTGAGCTGAGCTGAGGGATCCACTTCCAAGCTTGCTCAGCTTGGTCGTTAGCAAGAAGCCTCAGTTCCTCACCACATGTGCTTCTCCGTGGGGCTGCTTTTGACATGGCAGCTGGCTTCCCCCAGAGTAAATGGAGAGAGAGAGAGAGAGAGAGAGAGAATGCCACTAAGATAGAAATTACTGGATCTTGTATAACCTTATCTCAGAAAGCCACAGTATCAGCTGGGCGCGGTGGCTCACGCCTGTAATCCTAGCACTCCGGGAGGCCAAGGCCGGAGAATTGCTTGAGCTCAGGAGTTCGAGACCAGCCTGAACAAGAGCGAGACCCTGTCTCTACTAAAAATAGAAAGAAATTAGCCAAACAACTAAAAATAGAAAAAATTAGCTGGGCATCATGGTGCATGCCTGTAGTCCCAGCTACCAGGGAGGCTGAGGCAGGAGAATCCCTTGAGCCCAGGAGTGTGAGGTTGCTGTGAGCTAGGATGACACCACGGCACTCTAGCCCGGGCAACAGAGTGAGACTCTGTCTCAAAAAAAAAAAAGAAAGCCACAGTATCTTTTATAACCTAATCTCAGAAACAACATAACATCATTTGTGCCATATTCAATCAGTCCCTCAGACCATCCCTGGTACAAAGTGGGAGGCGACGACATGAGGGTGTGAACACTAGGAGGAAGGATCATTGGGGGCTGGCTACAAACTGCCCTTGTATTCTTTATGGTCTTCTCCCACCCTCTTGCTCTTACAGCTTCCTCTTGGCAAGTTCTAACGCCACCTTGGTTCTGGATACTCTGAAACTATACCCTGAAGCTTCACTCTGTACCAACTTGGGAAAAAAGAAAAAACAAAACCCTTTCTATACCACAGGGTCAGCTCTAGATAACACCCCATCTCCGAGGTTGCATCTCCTGAAATAGAAGTCCTCACATACCTCCACTTCCGCTTGTCCCATTTATTCTTTGGTCCATAGCAATTGGATCTGCATCCCAACGTCTTCTTTGGAACTATGATCCCCAGGTCACTGGGATATGGCAAAGTCTTCTTGGTTGAAAATTCTAATATTTTTCAGTCCTTGCTTAATCTCCGTAGAATTTGTTTTCTCCTTTCCCTTGGCTGCGGTGACACCATTCTTTCTGGCTTTTATCCACTGTTGATCTTCCTTCCTCTCTCTGTAAATATTGATATTTGTTTCACAATTCAATCCTCCTCTCTTTTTTCTTATTCTAAACACTCTTCCTTTGTAACTTTTTCTATACCACTGCCTTTAGCTACCATTGCATGCTGATGACTGCCAAATCCAAATTCCTAGATTAATTCACTTTCGGGAGTTCCACACTTTTCTAGCCAACTCCTTGCTTAAGATTATGAAAGTTCCACCAGTTTCCCAACTGATAGACGTGTTGGCTTCATTTGAGAGGATCGATTACTTCTGGGAACTTCTGATTGGGAGTAGAAATGGTTTTTTTTGTTGTTTGTTTGTTTGTTTGTTTGAGACAGAGTCTTACTCTGTTGCCCGAGCGAGCGCCGTTGCATCAGCCTAGCTCACAGCAACCTCAAACTCCTGGGCTCAAGCAATCCTCCTGCTTCAGCCTCCGGAGTAGCTGGCTACAGGTGTGCGCCACCACGCCTGGCTAATTTTTTATATTTTTAGTTGCCTGGCTAATTTCTTTCTATTTTTAGTAGAGACAGAGTCTGGCTTCTGCTCAGGCTGGTCTCGAACTCCTGAGCTCAAGCGATCCTCTGGCCTTGGCCTCCCAGAGTGCTAGGAATTACAGGTGTCAGCCACCATGCCCAGCCTAGAAATCTCTTTTAATAAAAATATTCTAAAGAGAAACTTAACTCCAAAAAGAGTTGTATCTGTTTGGTACAATCCCTAAGGCAATGGCATGATGGGATGTGGAAACAGCAAAAGGTTTCCCACCTTTTTCAGAAGAAGCCACTAATATGTTCACCAAGCCATTGTTTATACTTTTAGCTCTACAAAAAAAGAGCAAAAGGCTCACACTAACTATCAGTTTATGCAGAAAATATAAAAGTGACAGCTGCACCCACCCTCATAATCAACTCCTGTCTGCCAGCACCTCCTTCGGGTACTTCATGGTGCCTGTCCCAAGGCTTAGAACCTTAACACGTCTATTCTGCTACACAAATTGCTTAACTAAGACCAACTTCTCCCTGGAATGCTGAAGATTTCAGACCTAAACCTCTCCTAAACCACTGTTATGAAATCAAATTCTGAGAGCCATGTCCCACAGAGTGTCCCTAGCATAAACACTGGGTCTATATCATGCGGCTGTTACTACTGCAACTACTTCTGATGTCCCACATTCTATGATATAAATGTGCTGTGAGCAAGAGTTCATAATGCAATATAATGTGATAACTATACACATTATTGTGATACTTTAATATTATAATAATTATGGAATAATATCATAATGCCCAATCACAAGCTACATGCAGCAGCCTCCTAGTCATATTAATATATATACAAGATCAGAAAATTTTGGCACTTCCAAGTTGATATGTGCCCTTCCTCAAGAGTGAAACCTGATGTCAGGTGGGAGGATATTTTCTCTTATTCAACTGAACCATGACCCTTATTTTCACCAGTGAAATCATTGGCATTGAGGCTGAGCACTCAGAACTTCTCCACATGTTTGAATCTACAGCATCCATTCTAAGACTGATGAAATCATCTCTGTACTTTAAACACATCTAGTTGAAGAGTCTGCCCAGAAACCAGTCAATAGTGCCACAGCGCTAAGGTTTAAAACTGATCATGGATCACAAGAAGAAATTCATGTTTCGGCCGGGC